ATGGAGCCAATGATAGTTTTTCCTGGAGAAGAGTAGTCAACAGTGATGGTTACTGAAGACATGAAGGAGAGCAGTTTCAGGTAATGGTGGAAACTATTGAAATGCTTAAGGAGGTAGGTAATAAAGACAAATTTAGACAATTTTGTGAAACTGCTGTCTTACCCTGCTGCTGAGCCTGACAAGGCCCTCTTCTCATGGATATTGTGCTGCAGACCCATGGATATATGAAACAAGCACGCAGTCAGTACCTGAAAAGACTACCTCTCTCTAGGTGAAGTTGTCAGAGGCCGAGTCTGGGCTGTTGGAGGCCATTTGTCCACCTGGAGAAAGCCTAAACACAAAGTGATAACAAGCATGAGCTGGCATAGCAGAGATGGAGAGAGAGATGGTGCTTAAGATATTTGAGGCCCATAATCAGATTTTCCAATTATATTAGCCAATAAAGACCATGTTTGTAGATTTGGTGGTAAGAAGATAAGGGAATTCATAACCACGCGTGTTTCCTCTGCAAATATGAAGTTAGCAGTATCTGTGAGATGCTGAAGTTCCTAGTAGAGATATCCAGCCAGCAGATGGAGTACAGAAGAGAGGACTGGACTGAAGACAGGAATTTGAGGTCCTTTGTAGAATGGAAGCAACTCTTGGGATTTGGGGAAATACTCCATAATTCCTTGCGGATGCTATGTAGCTAAAATGTAGTGAGGGAAGTCACAGGCAAGGTCATTTAGAACAAGGAAACTATTCCCTTACCTGATCGGATTTGTAAAGTCAGTGCACATCCATGGGGCCTGAGACATGGATGAGAACTGCAATGTTCTGTACAAGCAGAGGTCACTTGTTGACTGTTCCCAACCCATAGGAACCTCAACAAAGTGCCTGGCAGAATGGTGACAAGGGCCTGGGGCAACAAGAGGACTAACGATAAGCCTGAGCCCATTTCCCCTGCCTCCAAAATGCAATGTGGAAATATGTTTATTTCCAGGCAGAAAGATGTAATGAGAATCAATAAACTGGCTTTCTCATCGTCAGGAATGGGGAGAGGAGGAAATGTCTCTCAGATTTAACTTTCCCAGATGAGTTTCTGAGTCTCCCTGTGTCCTGTGTCGGGTTGACAGGATTCTGGCTTCATACCTGTTTGGGTCGACTTTCTCATCTTCAGGGATAGAAGTGTCTCTGGTGGCCCCAGTTCAGTTGCAGGACCAAACTTTTGATGCTCATGGGAGAGGAGGTTTGGAAGTTTCAGTGCTTTTCAACACCCAAGACCTCTTCCCCTTGCTCCTATCCCCAAACCACCTCCCTCTACAGCACGAGGACAAAAAAGGTACTTTATTGAAATGTCTTTATTGCATTACTGGAGCAAGTTGGTCAAACTGTCCCCTCTTGGGGAACGATCCAAAACAAAAAGACCAAAAAGTATCTTTCCCATCTTCCCCCCACCCTCCCCTACAACTGCACAGCAATGTCTGAACACATCTGGTGACAAGAACAATTTGCAAAAGTGGTCTAGGAACTACATTATGAACTGTCCCAACACAAGACATATAGTTGGCTTCTTTGTGAATCAGATATTTTTACGTAAACTACATGAATTTTTTTGACTACATCAAAGACAACAGAATAGGTTTTTCACAAGTAACAACAGGGCACCAAAGTCACATGCTGGAATCTGTAAGGAAACAGGGTTGTCACAAGTGGCTGGAGCTGGAGCAAGGCTGAGCCGTTGGCAGCAGAGGGTCCAGACAGACCTCCATCTGGACCCTCTGCTCTGAGACCACTAAAGCCTCACAGAGGACTACTCTGGAGTCTAAACGGGCAACAGAGATCACCTTGAAAACCAGGAATTGCCCAGATGCAATTCTTGGCCCAAGAGGACCCAGGAGGCTGGTTCCTTGCAGCAAGAAAAACCTATGGAAGACACCATATTGGCTCTCAAAAAGCATTCCCGGAGCACGTGAGACCCAAAATGCCTGGGAGGTCCCATCAGGGCTTGGAGGTGAAATGGGGCAGGGGAGTTATTAAAAAGTCCTCAACCTTGACTAAGTCAGCAATAAGGACACAGCTACCCTGTGGAGGCCTGGGCCGTGGCCAAGGCTTAGCATCCATGGCCTGGTGGAGACAGAACATTGTTCAGTGATGAAAGCTCCATCTGGAATAGGTGGGCCTAGGACCTGTGTCCAGCCAGTCCCAAGCTGCTTCCATGTTGGTAGCTGGCTTCTCTAGCCAGGAAAGCTGGGCCACTCTGGTCTTGTTCTGTCTCTTTCCCCTCTGCCTCAGTGAGGATGAAGTTAAGACGCCATAAAAGCATCACAGGCTCAGAGCTAGACTCACACGAGGCCAAGGCTTGCTGCCTAGACCACAGAGTAAAGAACAGCATAACTACCCCTCCATATGGTTAGTCAACTGGTCCCTATGCGATTTCACTGATTCATTAGGATCAAGCAATCTGTGGCAAAGAAGACACTTTTCAATTTCTCAAATGATCCCTAGATCTTAGTCCCCACAAAGCAACAAATTCGAGAATGAAAAAGAGGAAAGAAACAGAAAGTGAAGGAATGTAGGACTAAAAGAGAGCAGCCCTTCTCCACAAGCCAGCAGCCCAAGTGCAGATAATAGATGACACTAGCTCTCTCCCTGCACACCTTAACATCTGCCTGACAAGGAGCAACACAGGTCAGCATTACTGTTGTGTATCCTTTTCCCCATTTTCATTCAAGACATTCCGATACTAAATTTTAGTACCAGAAAGGAGGGATTCTTTGCACCCAATCTTGAGCAACTAACCGCGTAGGCAGGTTCACCACCAGGTCAAGGCTACCGAGGTGTGTCTAGCAGCACTCAGCCTGCCAATCACTCTAAAACTTTCAGCAAGATTTCAATTTGGCAATGTGGGGAAGGGATGTGCAGTTCACACAGTTAAGAGCTTAAATCAGCCGAAACCGGTTTGGCTCAGTGGTAGAGCGTCGGTCTGCGGACTGAGGACTGAAGGTTCCCAGGTTCGATTCTGGTCAAGGGCATGTACCTGGGTTGCGGGCACATCTCCAGTAGGGGGTGTGCAAGAGGCAGCTGGTCGATGTTTCTCTCTCATCGATGTTTCTAGCTCTCTCTCTCTCCCTTCCTCTCTGTGAAAAATCAATAAAATATATTAAATTAAAAAAAGCTTCAATCAGAACAGTGACACTCAAGGGACTTCATTTGTCTGCCTCATCCAATTTGGAACTGTAACATAACCAAGGAAAAGCCAAAGTTATGTCCTTTCCTTCCTATCCTCATCTATGTCTAATTTCTGTCTAGTCCTAAATGCTCAGAAAAAGCAGTATGTTTCTTTCATCCCCAAAACTAGTGTTTTCCTAGCTGTAAGCCTAAGTACCAAGACCCAGATACTGGCTTCTTGTGTAGCTCAGCCAGGATGCCTGACTGCACAGCTTTGGCTCAAACAGCTGACTCACTCTGAGCCTATTCTGGTTCCAGGACTGGCTCGGAGGCAGCGGAATTCTATTTGTCCAATGAGTGTCGACTGTGGGGGGAGGGCATAATGGAGGTAGGAGGAGATGCCCGCCTCCAACTCCATTTGCCTAGCTCCACTCAGCTGGAAGGCTCAAGCCACATGGAGCAGAAGATTCTGGCCTAAAATCAGGACAATCTGTGCACATCATCTTAATGGCAGGATCACAGAAAAGGCAAAGAGAAAAGCCTCCAGATGGTTTTTACTAACAGTCTGAACTCCAAACCATCCCATCCTTTCCTTACAAAAGTATGGAAGCACATGGGTAATGTGGTATGACCCTTGCCCTGGACACCGGAGCTCCGGGGTCTGTGATGTACTGAGGTCCCTGCCCCGCGTCTGGTCCCTTCCTGTACAGCCTCAGCAGCCTATGACTGCCCCGACCTTACCCAGCAAAGGACAGGGGCGAGTCAGTAACATGGTCACTGTGTCTGCAGGGCCTTTAAACTCGGGGAAGCACATATAAGAATATTGTTCTATATCATTATTTGGTATATCAAGCCATCTAAAAGCACTGGATTGCACCTTTTCTTTACTCATACAAACAAGTTACAAAGGTTTCAAACAACAGATCATTCTTTAGGCTAAGGAAACACCACACAAGCACCAACTTCATTTTATGATTCAAAGCTTACCATGCCTACAAAAAGAACACTATTCCTGGCCTCAGAGAAACAAGGGCAGGGCAGAAGGGTTACACTGACCAATTTAGTGTTTGCTAAAACTAACAAATCCTAGCTTTCCTTTTATTTTCAAGTTTCGGTACAGAAGTGTGCATTCAGACATGAGTGCTGCCTTCTTCCATCAAATCTTAGTCCTATAACAAACATTGTTTTTCTGGGATCAATTTGGTTTCTAAACAATGCTTTTTTAGAGGGAGGAGCTGTAAGACGCTGATGTCTAAGTTATGTGAACTAAGAAGCACAGGACCTTCAGTTGAAGGGTTTTTACTCTTGGCTGAGAGTCTAGATGAAATCCCAAGCCTCCCATTCTCCTTTGGTTGTCTTTTTCACCGAATGCCATGCTACCGCAGAACCAAACAACCTTCTCTGGGAGGAAGTTAAGAGAGACTGCCAGATCAAAACAGAACTCCCCACACAGCCACACCCATCACACTCTCAGAGTTGAAGACCCAAAGAGGACATGGACTCTGCAGAAGCTTCCAGATACAACCCCTCACCACCTCAAGCCTAAACGGGTTCTGTTGAGGGTGCTTGGCTAAAATAAAAAATAAAATAAAAACCCCAGTGAAACAGACTTCCCAAAAAAACCACATCTGCCTCCAGCTTCCTATGCTAGTGCAGCAGCACAGCTGGGCCCCAAAGCCCCGCAGGCCCCTCACACCCTCTCCTGACCGCTGCTGCTCGGCTTCTCCGCTTCACATTCACAGAATCACTTCTTGTGCAAAACAAGCAGTCTACGTAGAAAGAATGCCCTCATAGTCTAATAAAACTGTAGGAAAAAATGCTAGAGAGCCACCTCTCTTCCCACGCCCACTTTATCTGCAGAACGAGGGCATCTGTGCGTGGACAGGGTAGGCGAGCCGGACGTTGAGGGAGTCGTTGTGCTGGACGAGGGATGTCTGCTGGTAGTGGAGCACCAGCTCCTTCAGCGAGCTGTACAGGTTGTAGGGCTCCGCGAAGCCGTAGCCCCGGGCAGTGCTGTAGATGACGCAGTGCTTCACTTCCCCGTCGGCACTGCAAGATACCACACCCGGAATTAAGGCAGGAAATAGCACAGGGGTCCCAGAAGCCTGGACGCAACTGTTTTGTAGAGGAGGCGCAGAGATGTTTTCTCAGCCAGTTTGTAAAATGTTACATCCATGTGCGTCTCCATCACTCCCTTACAAGCCTGTCACCTCCCACCACGCCTGGTAAGGCTAAAATGATGGCTCCAGATAGTCACTCAACTCAGGCAAGAATACTGAGGGGAGCAAAACAAACCAAAAAACTTTTTTTAGTGTATAAATCAGTATTTTTTTTAGAATATTCACAAGGTTGTGCAACAGTCACCACTATCTAATTCTAGAATATTTTTATCACCCTAAAAAGAAACCATGTAGCAATTACTCAGTATTCCTCTCCCCCTAGGCCCTGGCAACTAACCTATTTTCTTTCTCTATGGATTTGCCTATTCTGGACATTTCATATAAATGGAATTATATAATATCACACTTTTTGTACCTGGTTTTGTACCTGGTTTTCACTTAGCACACTATTTTCAAAGTCTCTCATGTTGTAGCATGTATTAGTACTTCATTTTTTCTTGTAACTGAATATTCTATTGTGTGGATATCCACATTTTGTTTATCCATTCATCAACTGATGGACATTTGGCTATTATGAATGATACTCTGAACACTGGTGTATGAGTTTTTGTATGGACATACATTTTCAGTTTTCCTAGGAGTGGAACTGCTGAGTCACATGGTTTAGCTTTGTGAGGAACTGCCTAACTGGTTTCCCAAAATGGCTGCACCTTTCTATTCTCCTGCCAGCAGTGTAAGGGGATCCAATTTCTCCACATTCTTTCCAACACTTCTTATTGTCCATCTTTTTTATTTTATAGTCATCCTAGTGGTGTCTCATTTTGGTTTTGATTTGCAGTTTTCTAATGGCTACTGATATTGAGCAACTTTTCATATGCTTATTGACCCTTAAGAAAAATGTATATTTAAATCCTTGCCCATTTTTAAATTGGGAATTTGTCTTTTTATTAAGAGTTCTTTATGAATTAGACACTAGTTGCATAACAGATATATAATTTCTAAATATTTTATCTTATTCTGTAGGTTGTTTTTTCACTTTTTTGACAGTTTCCTTTGATGCAAGAAAGTTTTTTATTATGTTGAAGACCAATTTATTTTTTTCTTTTGGTAATTGTGCTTTGGATATGTAAGAAACTACTGCCTAGCCCAAAGTCACGAAGATTTATGCCTATGTTTTCTCCTAAGTGTTTTACACTTGTAGTTTTTACATTTAGATCTATAATTCATTCTTAGTTAATTTTTGTATATAGTGGGAGGTAGGGCCCAACTTTATTCTTTGCATGTGGCTCACCAGTAATCACAGCATCATGTGTTGAAATTTTTCCCCCACTGTATGGTCTTGAGACCCTTGTTGAACACCAGTTTACATAAATGTAAGAATTTCTTAACTCTCGCCGAAACCGGTTTGGCTCAGCAGTAGAGCGTCGGTCTGCGGACTGAAGGGTCCCAGGTTCGATTCCAGTCAAGGGCATGCACATTGGTTGCGGGCACATCCCCAGTAGACGGTGTGCAAGAGGCAGCTGGTCGATGTTTCTCTCTCATCAATATTTCTAGCTCTCTATCCCTCTCCCTTCCTCTCTGTAAAAAAAATCAATAAAATATATTAAAATAAAAAAAAAGAATTTCTTAACTCTCAATTCTGTTCACTGATCTACATGTTTATCCTATTGTCAGTGGCTCACAGTTTTGATTACGATAGCTTTATTGTAAGTTTTGAAATCAGAAGGTGTACTTCAACTTTTTTCTATTCTTTCAAGATTATTTTAGCTGTTCTGGATCCCTTGCATTTTCACATGAATTTTAGGATCATCTTGTCAATTTCTGCAACAATCCAGCTGGGATTTATGAAATGGATTACACTGAACATGTAGACCAATTTGGAAAGCACTGACATCTTAACAATATTAAATCTTCTGTTCTATGAACACTGGATGTCTTTCACTTATTTAGGTCTTCTTTAAGTTCTTTCATTGTTTTATAGTTTTCATTATACAGCTCTTATACTTTTTTTGTTTTAATCCTAGGTATTGAATCATTTTTTATGTTATTATAAATCGTATGTCTTCCTCATTTCATTTCAAATTGTTCATTTCTAGTATATAGAAATACAACTGATTTTTGTATCCTAATCTATTAACTTACAATGCTGATGAACTCATTTATTTTACTCTTTTCCGATCTGGATGTGTTTTATTTCTTTTTCTTGCCTAACTTCCTTACCTAGAACTTTCTGTGGAATATTTAGAAATGGTGAGTGTAGACATTCTTATCTTTTTCCTATCTTAGGGAAAAGCATTTGGTCTTTCACCATTAAGTATGACGTTAACTGTGGGTTTTCATAGATAGCTCTTTATCAGGTTGAGGAAGTGCCCTCCTACTCCTAGTTTGTTCAGTGTTTTTTAAAACAAAAGAGTTGTTGGATTGCCTGAACTCCATGATCGGCAAACTGCAGCTCTCGAGCCACATGTAGCTCTTGGCACCTTGAGTGTGGCTCTTCCAAAAAATACTACGGCCTGAGTGAGTGTATTTTGAAGAAGAGGCCAAATATCAACAGTACAAAAATTGAAATTTTTCTTTGAGAACCAAATTTTTTAAACTTCTTCTAACGCCACTTTTTCAAAATAGTCTTGCCCAGGCCATGGTATTTTGTGGAAGAGCCACATTCAAGGGGCCCGACAACCCCGAGTCTAAGAGATCAACCAAAAAACTCATATGTATGCATGTAAGCATAGCCCATGGACAGTCAGTAGAGGGGTGAGGGTGTATACATATAAAATAAAATATTAATGGTCTAAGCGCTGGGCCCTCATTACTGCACTTGAACTAATTTTATTGAATTTTATGAGAGACTGATTTTCTTTTAATCAATTCAGAAGTTTTCAAAAGGTCGTACTTACACCACAGAGCAAGCATAACATCCTTTCTTGCTACTCTCACGAATTAAGAATGCACCATCAGGCTTCCCATAAAGCAAGTCCTCTGCTTGTACTCGATTGATATCCTCAACAAACCAGGTTTTCTCATCATAATGGGGCAGGTTTTCATCTTCCTCATTGATAAAATAGGTCCTAAAAATTAAATATTAAAATATTCTAACAATCAGGTTACTTATATCTAAAAGCAAATTCACAAATAAAACTCTCTTCTAAATCTTTAACCATAAAATGATAAAATGAAATTCTAATTAGTTGGATGCTTTTCAACTTCATTACTTGCTATGGTACAGAAAGCACAGAATTCACATGTATCATCCAACAATCTGACATGTGGGTGTCTGAATGACCTTCAGACCAATGCTTTTGTTCCATGTGGTTAGGCAGGTCTCTGAACTCAAATGCCTATTGGGTACTCTAGAAAACTCAATTCAAAAAAGGAGCAAAGTTCTTAATTCAATGTCCTCACATGACAATAAAAACCAATATTTAACATGTATAAAGAAGGTCCAGGTCTTAAATTGGGAGCAAAACCCTCTGACAGAAAGGTACAAGGGAACTTACTCATCAGCATCCTCATTCTTGATTCCCAGCCAGGCATTTAGGCGTTTCTGTCTCACTCCTTTGTGATTGAGCCATCTGCCAGAGGGAAGATAGCAGTGTCAGTATCTGTGCAAACTGCCTGGATGAAGTAGACCCGCGCAGCCAACCAAATTCCCAGAGTCTAGGAACCTCTTATTTTTCCCAGTCCCATGGAGTGGCCAAAAATTTCCCTAAACTAGCCGAAACCGGTTTGGCTCAGTGGATAAGAGTGTCGGCCTGCGGACTGAAAGATCCCAGGTTCGATTCAGGTCAAGGACATGTACCTTGGTTTCGGGCACATCCCTGGTGGGGGGAGTGCAGGAGGCAGCTGGTTGATGATTCCCTCTCATCAATGTTTCTAACTCTCTATCCCTCTCTCTTCCTCTCAGTAAAAAATCAATAAAAGTATATATATAAAAAAAATTCTTACAAGTTTGGGCATTTATTCTCTTGACAGTCTCCTCCACTAAAATGTAAGCTTCTTTGCCTGGCCAGTATGGCTCAGTGATTGAGTGCTAACCCATTAACCAGGAGGTCAAAGTTCAATTCCCAGTCAGGGCACATGCTCAGGTTGTAGGCTTGATCCCCAATAGGGGGCATGCAGGAGGGAGCTGATCACTGATTCTCTCTCACCGTTTATATTTCTAACTCTCCCTCTCCCTTCCTCTCTCTGAAATAAAACAAAACAAAACATTTTCTTAAAATATATTTTATTGATTTTTCTTACAGAGAGGAAGGGAGAGAGAGAGCTAGAAACGTTGATGAGAGAGAAACATCAACTAACTGCCTCTTGCACACCCCTTACCGGGGATGTGCCACAACCAATGTACATGCCCTTGACCGGAATCGAACTTGGGACCTTTCAGTCCGCAGACCGACGCTCTACCGCTGAGCCAACCGGTTTAGGCAACAAAACATATTTTTAATAAAATATAAAATATAAGCTGCTTTAAAGAAAATAAAATGTAAATAAAAAATAAAATAAAATCTGCCAAGACTGGTTTGGCTCAATGTATAGAGCGTCGGCTTGGGACTGAAGGGTCCCGGGTTCGATTCCGGTCAAGGGCATGTACCTTGGTTGCGGGCATATCCCCAGTGGGGGGGGTGCAAGAGGCAGCTGATCGATGACTCTCTCTCATCGATGTTTCTAACTCTCTATCTCTTTCACTTCCTCTCTGTACAAAATCAATAAAATATATTTAAAAAATAATAAAATAATAAAATAAAATAAAATGTAAGCTGCTTCTGTCTTGCTAATGGTTAATCCCAATGCTGAAAATTGCCAGTACATAGTGGAGATTCAATAAATAGTAAGTATTTGCTGGTGGGCTGTTTTTAATAAATCTTCATGGCCAACCCCAAGTACACTATATAACTTGGCATCACACTAATTTAAAGTTCCTTTAGACAGATTTCACAACCTTTCTCAATAAGACAGTCTTTCAGTTAATGTGGGTTCCATTTTGTATGCTTAGTGAAGCCAGAAAACAACAATATGATCTTGTAGAATTTATTTAGTAACAAACCCCCTCCTACACCACCACTTCTATTAGCAAAATACCCAGATACCCTCCTCTAAGTACTCTTATTCCAAACTTTCTGTCCTTAAATCTGTCCTAGTTGGTTTGGTTCAGTGGATAGAACGTCGGCCTGCAGACTGAAGTGTCTTGGGTTCGATTGCAGTTAAGGACATGTGACATGAGTGGCAGGCTCGATCCCTGGCCATGTGCAAGAGGCAAACAACCAATGTGTCTTCTCTCACATTGATGTTTCTCTCTCTCTATCTCTCCCCCTCCCTTTCACTCTCTCTAAAAATGAATGGAAAATTATCCTCAGGTGAGGATTAACAAAAATAAATAAATAAAAAATTGATATTTCCTTTATTAAAGAGACAAGCACACTGGGTAAAAGTCTTGAAATGAACAAACCACACTACATTTTCTTTTGAGTTTTCATTTTCTTTTCTTTTTTAAAGAATAGTTTATTGACTTTTAAAGAAAGAGTTCCCATTTTCTTTTAAAGACCAACCTCTTTAAACTGAGCCTCCTTTTCTACCCCAAGGAAGTTAGGACACCAAGAGAAATCCAGGAGAAAGAGACTATTTTTGATCCACCTTTCATCTAAGATGGTGCCCTGCCTTTTCACATTTGCAACTTTTCTCCTCTCCCAAAAGTCCATTCCAAATACTAATACATACTTCGGAGTCCTTGATTATCTATTAACAATGCCAGGAACTGACTTGCTTTTAAAAATGATTTTGAAAAAGCTTAAGTGACTTTAGTATGGCAATTCATATTTATCTTAGATTAAGTAATGCCTAGATCACTCCTAAGAGTACATTCTAGAGGAAAAAGCTGAGGCCAAAAAATGAAAAGACCAAATGTTAGCATAGGCACCTAAATATTAATAAAAAGAAGGGAGCAAAACTGGCTGGCTTAATTAGGTCGGAAGCTACAGCTTCAGCGCTGCAGGAGACAGCCACATTGTTCTGCCAAGAGGATTAACACTCCTCCCTTCCTCCCGGCATGGGGAGGAAGGACCTACTCTCCAACCTCCCTGGGTACCAACCGCCCACTTGCAAGGACTGTGGGAGTGGGAGGAATGAACAATAAAGGGGAAATTCTTCTGTTAAGTGAATGCCCAGAAAAAGCCAGGATGGCGATCATAAAGGGTCAGTGTTTAATCCGGAAAAAAGACTGGATTGGTTAGGGAAAGGACAAGCCCACAGAGCACTGGGAAAGAGACTGGTCAATTTGAAAGCCTGAGGTAATATCATCAAAGCTTAACGAGGCCTCAGTAGATAGCACGCATTTGTTCGCCCATGTATATACTTGCCTTCTCCCTCCCTAGCAGCCATGTATTCCTGGCAGCCACGGGAGCCCACATGCGGCTCTTAGGCCCCAGAGTGTGGCTCTTCCACAAAATACCACGGCCTGGGCGAGTCTATTTTGAAGAAGTGGCATTAGAAGAAGTTTAAGTTTAAAAAATTTGGCTCTCAAAAGAAATTTCCATCGTTGTACTGTTGATATTTGGCTCTGTTGACTAATGAGTCTGCAGACCACTGCCTTAGCCAGTTTGGCTCAATGGATAGAGCATCGGCCTGCGAACTGAAGAGTCCTGGGTTCGATTCGGTCTAGGGCACATGCCCGGGTTGTGGGCTCGATCCCCAGTGGGGAACTTGCAGGAAGCAGCAGATCCATGATTCTCTCTCATCATGGATGTTTCCATCTCTCTCTCCCTCTTCCTTCCTCTCTGAAATTAATAAAAATATATTAAAAAAAAAAAAAAAGAATATCCTAGAAACAGTATGCTGGGATTTTCGCCTTGTAGGTTATGCAGTGGGAAGTCAGGGAAATGTCTACCCCGCAAGGGGCCAGATGAACTAATGACAATCTCTAGTTGGATACTGTAGAATTCCAATTTATTCCAACTTCAAAACAGGACCAAAGAAAGATCATACTCAATATCATGCAGCGAACATTTTATAACCAGTCTCCTCTTCAGCACTGACTAGACAATTTCAGTACTGGAATACCTCAGTACTGAAACTACTGAGTCCACCACACCTAGTATTGTCACCACACCTAGTATTGTCTTTTTAGAAACATCAAAGTCTGGACTGTGGAACACCGGACTATCCTACCTAAAATAATCCTTCCGAGAGAGGTAAGGGTTGTCCGTGTCTCCCTGAACATCCTAACTATCTTTACTGGCAGGTCATGGCTTATCATCCATGATGCTATCTAAGCTCTCTTTTATATTATCCCCATTAAAGGAACTTTTAAGGTCTAGTTTGCCTTACTTATTCATGCCCATTTGGATGGTGTATTTCTTAGTATTTTATTGCTTTCCAGGCTAAAGAAGTGCTTCCACTCATTCCTTTGGTTCATGGCAACAACTTTCTAAGCATATTTTCAGCTTCATTATGTGAAAACCATGTAAGTATTCCAAGAGCAGGCACACCCTGATTTTAGATAAGGGCAAATTCTTGCCTTGTTTCCAAAGCTCTTTTGTATGCTTTGTATATGTGCTTGACTTTTGGGGAGGTCACAATAGCAAACTGAAATAATCTCTAGAGAGGAGTGTTTAAAACTACTTGGCATAGTATAGTTGCAATTGTTTTCCCCTAAAACAATCACCTTAAATTTTTCTCTAATAAATCCAGATACATAGAAGTATGAAACAGTCTGTCAGATCTCAGAGGGAAGGCGGGGTTGGACGGATAGATGGGAAGACATCAACCAAAAAACTTGTATACATATATGCATAACCTAGGGACACAGACAATAGGTGGGGGCGGGGCTAGAAGGGGTCAATGGGAGAAAAGGGAGACATATGTAATACTTTCAACAATAAAGATTTCAAGAAGGAAAGTAAAGATTTTAAAATAAATAAATAAAAATGTTCCTCTACTGAAACCAAACAGCACTGTTCCAATTTTAAGCTTGTATCATATCCCTTCTCCCGTTCTCACACAACGAAAGCCTGACACGTGTGGCAAACACAGATGTCATCTGCCAGGAGTTTGAATTGAGCGGTTTTACATGAATGAAACATATTTCATAACAGTCCATTCATTTCCTAAAACTAAAATTAATATATTCTCCTTCCTCACAGCTTTTCTCTTTGGCATAGTCATTTGTCCTAAAAATCGAATCCACACAATTTGTTCTGATAATATATCTTTTAATCTGTACTTGGATAATATCCCTATATCTAGCTAAATTGTATCATTTTTCATAATATTAAAAAATTAGGTTTCACTCTTTAGATCAAACTATCTTTCATGCTTGCTATCCACACATTTCTATTACTTTAATACAGAATTTCATTTAGACATAAAAACCTTTAATAGATTGTTCTGTATACTTACCTATAGGCCCACACTATTAGTGTCCTTGCCTGTGCCCATTGAAAACAATTTCCATTTCTGTGGTTCTGATATGTAACCAAAGATTCTGGTTTTTGTGTTTTAGGCAAACATCACTCTGTACATTTTAAGCTACATCATTTTGCTCATGCCACAGCCACCCTCTGAGATTTCCAAGGCCTTTGTACAGATTGGGAGTCCTATGCTGCTCCCACATATTGACTGTAAGTCAACTCTGGTAGCCCTACTACTAATAGGAATACTTGCCTACATTCTTAGTGGCCATTTCTCAATTACAAATCTGTTCTTCTAAATCTAACATTTCTAGTGCCAGCAGAAATCTGGTGCTAGAGGTACCTCCTGCCCTCCACCCCTCCCACACTACTCACACAAGATGTTGATCTCGGATCTTGCGCAGCTGGATCAGGTCAGGTTTGATACTATTCATTTTTTTATCTATTTCCCGGTTGTCCAAAGCTTGTTTCTTCAAATCTTGCTCTAGACGCATTTTGCTATCATGAATCTCACCCAGACGGGATTTCAATTTGTCATAATTCATCATAATTCTGTGAAAACATTTGATATATTAAGGCTAAAATAGGAACCAAGCAGAAGCATTCTATATTGTGAGCAGAGCCTAATATCTTAAGTGTGGTTGACATCTGCTGTTTTTTCCTGGTCCATATCCATTCCCATTCTTCTAGTAATAGCACTTGACTGTCCCTGCAGTATGGGTTCCCTTGCCCTCATCTTAGATTCACGGGTAAATATCCACACAACTCAGCATGTCCAATAAAAGTACTCCATTCCATTTTATTCACACCCTCAGGCTAGTGACTGGTTCAGGAATAGGAGTAATACCCAAACTGACTCAATGAGAGTTAATTCCAGGACTTTTGCTACTATTGTAAATAGAGATTCTCTTTCCATTAGGACTGCTAAATTATGAAAGTGTATTTGATTCTAAGGACTCCCAGCTGCTACACTGTCACCTCTTAGGGAAAGACTGCCTGAGGATGAAGCCAACACAGAGAAAATTAGAACCAAAAGACAGAGTATGGCTCAGTCTGTGTGGCTCAGTAATCAAACATGTACCAAGAAGTTGCCAGTTCGATTCCCAGTCAGAGCACATGCCTGGGTTGTGGGCTCCATCCACAGTGAGGGGCTTGCAGGAGGCAGCCAATCGATCAATGTACTCTCTCATCAATGTTTCTCTCTCTCTCTCACCCTTTCCCCTCCTCTAAGAAATAAACAAAACAAACAAAACAAACAAAAAAACAAACACAGAATACAGAGTATGAGAGAGGATCCATGCCCTTGTTTGGGTTTTGCACTGAGCCATGATTGAACAAATACTGGTAGCTATATGGATGATATAAAGAGATAACACAATATAGCAGTTAAGAGCAATGGCTTTGCAGTCAGCTTGCCCTAAGTATGAGGCTCTGGCCTATCACTTACTGTGGAGCTATGGCAAGTTATTTAAATTTTCTGAGCCTTTATTTCCTCTTCTGTTTAAAATGGGTACTTAAATAGTACCTACTTCACTGGGTTACTGTGTAAATTAAATGTGATAATACATGTAAAAGAACTTAACAATGCCTAGCACATCTTCATAAGTATTCAGTAGGTGGTGGCTATAAGCTTTTCAGCACACTAAGTTTTGCTGTGCTCTGAATCCTTTTAAGGCACAATTGTCCACACTACTCACTTGTTATTCAATATATGGTTTTATATTACTACTAGAGACCCAGTGCATGAAATTCATGCACTGAGGGAGGGGGGTTCCCTCAGCTCAGCCTGCACCCTCTCCAATCCGGGATCCCTTAGGGAATGTCTGACTGCCAGTTTCGAGCCTATCCCAGGGATCAGGCCAAAACCGGCAGTCAGACATCCCTCTCACAGTCCGGTACCACTGGCTCTGAACTGCACCCCCCCAGGCCCTGCCAGCCTAATCACCCATATCTGCCTCTGTCTGCCAGCCTGGTCGCCCCTTAGTGCCCCCCCTGCCAGCCTGGTCGCCCCCAACTGCCTTCCCCTGCTGACCTGGTTGCCTCTCACTGCCCCCCCTACTGGCCTGGTCGTCTCCAACAATCCCCCTGCCAGCCTGGTTGCTCCTCACTGTCCTCCTCTACTAACCTGGTCACCCCTCATTGCCCCTCTCTGCTGGCCTGGTCACCCCTCACTGCCCCGCCCCCTGTCGGCCTGGTGGCCACTCAGCAGGGGGGTTAGTGAGGGACCAAACGACTGACCAGCAGGGACCAAACTGGTCAGTCGTTTGGTCCCTCACTAACCCCCCTGCTGACCTGGTAGCCCCACGCAACCTACTGGTCAGTCATTTGGTAGTGCCTCGCTAACCACCCTGCCAGCCTGGTGGCCCCACACAACCTGCTGGTCAGTTGTTTGATCGTCCCTCGCTAACCCTCCTGCTAGCCTTGTCACCCCACCCAGCCTGCTATTTGCTTGTTACTGTGAGGGTGTCATGACCAATTTGCATACTTCCCTTTTATTAGTATAGATTAAAATGTCATTGTGTTACTTCACCTCCCATTGCACTAAACTATAATAAAAAAAAAATTTTCTATTTCTTCATTATTAATAACTAAAGGCCCAATACACAATATTTGTGCAAGAAGAGGCCCCTGGCTTCACTCCCAGCAACCTAGGAGCCAGCAAGTCCCCACTCCCCACCCCAGCCGCCTGGAAGCCAGCAAGTTCCCACTCCCCACTTCTCAGCCACCTGGGAGCCGGCACGTCCCTGCTCCCGGATGCCCAGAGCTGGCAGTCCTCGCTTTTGTCTGGAACACCACTCCCGTAGCTCCCTCCGCTGCCCCCTTCCACTCATAGCAGGCTTCATACCACTCTGCACTTGCATATGCAAATTAACCTCCATCTTTGTTGGGCTAATTTGCATACTCATTCTGATTGGCTGTGGGTGTAGTGGAGTGATGGTTAATTTGCATGTTTCCCTTTTATTAGGTAAGACTAGAGGCCTGATACACGAAATTCATGCACAGGATGGGGGTTCCCTCAGCCAGCCGGCAGCCTCTCCAATCTGGTATCCCTCTCACAATTCAGGACTGTTGGCTCCCAACTGTCCACTTGCCTGCCTTCCTGATTGCTCCTAACTACTTTTGCCTGCCAACCTGATCATTCCCTAACCACTCCCCTGCCATCCTGATTAATGCCTAATTGCTCCTCTGCTAGCCTATTTGCCCTAACTGCCCTCCACTTCAGATATGTCACCCCTAACTGCCCTCCCCTGCTGTCCTAATTGCCCACAACTTCCCTCCCTTGCAGGCCTAGTCCCTCCCAACTGCTCTCTCCTGCTGGCCATCTTGTGGTGGCCAGCTTGTGTCCACATGGGGGCAGGATCTTTGACCACCTCGTGGCAGCCATCTTGTGTTGAAGTTACGGTGAATCTGCTTATTATTCTTTTATTAGGATAGAGGCCTGGTGCATGGGCGGGGGCTGGCTGGTTTGCCCTGAAGGATGTCCCAGATCAGGGTTGGGGCTCCCTTGGGGCATGGGACAGCCTGGGTGAGGGACTTGTGGTGGTTTGCAGGCCAGCCACGCGCCCTAGCGACCCAAGTGGAGGCCCTGATATCTGGGATTTATTTATCTTCTACAATTGAAACTTTGTAGCCTGGAGCGAAGGCCTGGGCTGGCCAGGGTGTGCAGGGGAAAACTTGGTTTCCCCCTAGCCTCTTGCTCTTTCCAGCTCCTGGCTGCCACCATTTCTGTTTGGATTTATGTATCTTCTATCATTGGAACTTTGTAGCCTTGAGTGGAGGCCTAGGCCAGCAAGAGCAGGCAGAAAGCTTGGCTTCCTCGATTGCCAGGGAAACCCAAGCCTTCCTCCTGCTCTCTGTGGCTGTAGTTATCTTGGTTGGGATTATTTGCATATTTGCTTCTGATTGGCTGGTGGGTGTGGCTTGTGGATATAGCAAAGTGATGGTTAATTTGCATATTACTCTTTTATTAGATAGGACTTCTATCGACTGCAAATGCCAAGATATATTCAGATACACAAACATGCCTATCTGCATCATTAATGTGTGTGTGTGTGTGTGTGTGTGTGTGTGTGACTTAATTCTCATGGCATTTCAATAAGATATTATCCACAGTTCATGGAGGAGGAAACAGGCCCTAAGAATTAAGTAACTCACCTAAAAAGTGAGTTAAGTAACACAGCTAGTAAATAATTCAACACACAAGCCAAACCCATGGTTTTAACATTAGGTTACACTGCCTCATACCACTTAGCCCTAGTCTTTGCACAAAGAAGTTCACTAACACTTTGGTGCTAACATGAGAAATAATTTTGCTTTTCTCTTGGTTTATTTTCCTGATAGTTACAGCACCTGCAATGGTTTGGAGAGTACATAGCGGTACTCAATGAATAGGATTCATTTTTATTTATTATCCACTTCTTCATTCCTCAACCCACTGTTTTCTGGCTCAGTCTTCCAATATTCCACTAAATTTGCTTTAATAAAGGCTTACAATATCCTTTGGTTGCCAAGTCCAATAGTTATCATGCTGCTCATTATTTCTGTGTAATCACATTCTTACCATCTACCGCAATCTACACACTTATGCCTCCCAAATCCTTCCTGTACCTGGAGTTCCAAATCTAAAAACGTTTCAAACAACTTCATTGGGTTTTCAAAAGAATCTCACACTCTTTGGTTCTAACCCCAAACTCTCCTCATACTCTCTATTTAGTTAATAACACCATCTCTTAGTCCAGTTGTCCGCAAACTGAGGCTCGCAAGTCACATGCGGCTCTTTGGCCCCTTTAGTGTGGCTCTTCCACAAAATACCATGGCCTGGGCGAGTCTTTTTTGAAGAAGTGGCATTAGAAGAAGTTTAAAAATTTGGCTCTCACCGAAACTGGTTTGGCTCAGTGGATAAAGCATCGGTCTGCGGACTGAAAGGTCCCAGGTTCAATTTCGGTCAAGGGCATTACATAGGTTGCGGGCACAATCACCAGTGGGGGGTGTGCAGGAGGCAGCTGGTCAATGATTCTCTCTCATCGACATTTCTAACTCTCTATCCCTCTCCCTTCTTCTCTGTAAAAAAAATCAATATATATATATATATATATATATATATATATATATATATTTTTTTTTTTTTTTTTTTTTTTTTTAATTTGGCTCTCAAAAGAAATTTCATTGGTGTACTGTTGGTATTTGGCTCTGTTGACTAATGAGTTTGCCAACCACTGCCTCAGTCAGTAGGCGTAAACTTTGACTTATCCCACACATATCATTCCTGGTCAGGCTTCAAGTCCTCAGCATTTCCTTTAACTCCACCTCCTTTCCTGCCATTGTTCTGGTTCAGGCCCTCACCATCTTTCAACCTGATGACCTAAGACTACAGCCACCTGCAACAGTCAGCCAACTGCTCTTCCTACCCACGGTCTTGTTCCACTCCAATTTATTCTCAGACTGCTGCTACTGATTTTCAGTTCAATAAATATTTCAGTTCAACAAATATTCTCCATACCATAATAGGTGCTGTAACTAACTATCAGGAAAATAAGCCAATATCCCTACTTTCAACAAGTTCACAATTTAGTAAGTGGGACATTCAGTAAATGTTACAGTAGGGATCAGAAGCAGATACTATAAGAATAGGGACAAAAAGCCCCCAAACCAGTCTAAGGAATCAGGGAAAATTTTCTAGAAAAAAATCACATCTAAGCTGAGTCCTAAAGGGTGATCAAGAGCTAATATTTAGGAGGAGGAGAAAGAATGCAGAAGAGAGGAGGTTCAGTTTGGTGCCACTGGTGGGAACAGCAAGTACGAAAGGACTGTGAAGTTTGAGGGGTAAAAACAAACACAACAAAGATTATTAGGGAAGAAAAGTCATCTTGTCTCACTGATGTACTTTGAGGTAATTAAGTAGAATTACCGTTCAATTTCCTTTTCATTCCCCTCTCTGCGAAATCGCTCAATATATTCTTTGCGATACTGTTCTTGTGTGTGACATTGCTCTTCAAAAATTTTAATGGTTTCATTAAAAGCTTCAATTGCCGTCCGCTTCATCTGTATTTCCTAAAGGAGAGAAAAAGAAAAGCTATATACTTTATTATCTTTATTTTTTGGTAACTTTTTTACTGTTCCATGTAAGACTGAATTCAGAAAGCTAAACCAGCAATTTTCTACGTTTTTCATCTCATGGCACACATAAACTGACTACTAAATTATGCAGCACACCAAAAAATGTATTTTTTGCCAATCTGACCAAAAAACAGATACAATTTTGATTCATTCACATCTGAAAGCTCTTGTTATGTTGGCTGTTGTCATTTTTTTATTTGACAAATTAAGGGAAAAGAGGTCAGTGCCCCTTACTAAATAGTCAGGTATTGCATGTTTTAAAAATCCTAGTGGGACAACGATTGAAAATTGCCTGGCTAAAATAAGATCCTTTAACTTCTACCCTTATTATTTATATGCAAAATGAATCATTTAAACCCTAAAATAAAAGAAAATGTATAGCTGAGAACCACAGAAAGACTCAAGATGCTAAGAGGGATTAATCCTTGAAGATAAGGATGAGCCTTTGCACCTATTATAGGGCTGACCCCCAAAAGAAGCTAAAGGGGTGAATGGAAAGAGTAGAGAAGTCCAGCCCCAACATGCAAAGACTTTTCCCCAGAGGAGCCCTATAGTCTATTTATTCTTTTCTTAAAAATATCCTATCTAATAAAGAGGGAATATGCTGATTGATCCTCACACCATCACAAAGATGGCAGCGCCCACAACCAATATGCTAATTGACTGCCCCACCCTCAAATATGGCGGTGCCCACAGCCACAAGATGGCAGCGTCCAGTCCCCTCAGCCCTGCCATGGTGGCAGGCATGCAGCAAGCCTCGGACCACAGCTGCCTAGCCACCCAGGGCCGCCCAAGGCCGCCCAAGGCTCAGGTAACCAGGTCTGGCTGAGGCTTGCACTGCTGGCAGTGGCATCAGTAGAGGTGTGATGGGGCATCGCCTTCCCCTGGTTAACGGGTCATCTCCCGCCCCTTAGGGCTCCCGGACTGTGAGAAAGGGCAGGCCAGGCTGCGGGACCCCCCTTCCAGTGCATGAATGTACTGGGCCTCTAGTATGTATATATGTGTGTTATATGTGTAATGAGAGAGGAAGGGAAAAGGAGAGAGATAGAAACATCAACGATGAGAGAGGATCATTGATTGTACCCTTGACTGAAATCAAACCCTGGAATTTTCAATCAGCAGGCCGTCACTCTATTCAACGAGCCTAGCCAGCTAGGGCCAGAGTCTATTTATTCTTGCTTTAGTTTCTAAAACAAGTAGTTTTTATTTTTATTATTTATTTATTTTTTTAAAAAAATATTTTATTGATCTTTTACAGAGAGGAAGGGAGAGGAACAGAGAGTTAGAAACATCAGTGAGAGAGACATTGATCAGCTGCATTATGCACAACACCTACCGGGGAAGTGCCCGCAACCAATGTACATGCCCTTGACCGGAATCGAATCTGGGACCTTGCAGTCCACAGACCGACACTCTATCCACTGAGCCAAACCAATTTCAGCTAAAGCAAGTAGTTTTTAAAACAGAATCATCAGTAAATTAATCTGATTAGAAGCAGAAAATGAAAAAGGAAAGAATAGCTGAAAAAAATCAGATGCAAAATAAGATGTAAAATGAAAACTCCATAAAACAAAAGCCTGAGAGTAAGAAATTATGAGCTCTGAGGGTATTTGTAGACTTTAGCATCTAACTCATGATTCCTAAAACCTTCAAAGAGGATTAGGCTTTTTTCAATTTACTTTAGAAAGTCAAGAAGTATGTATAAAGGTCTAGAAAGATTACTATCCTGAATGTTTATAATTTTAAAGGTTTTGTGCTTGCAAGATAATTCCTCATCTATCCAGCATTGATTAATTTCAACAAATGATTATTGAAAATCCACTATACAGGAAGTACCATCTGGTGATAAAGAGATTCATAAAACATGGAGCCTACCTTTCAGGATTTGAACTACACAGGTGAAATAGATTTATGAACTCTAATAGGTTCTGTTTAATGTCGTGGTAGGGAAATCAAGTGTAATAAATTAATTACTTATTGTTTTACAGATGCTTCATGGAGAAGACAGCATTTGAGCTAGTTCTTAAAGAACTGGGGTGGAGGGAAATGCAGCATTGCACACAGATGGCATGACATGTACATGTAATATTAGGAGATGTTCTGTTTAATGCAGAGGAAAGGGATTAAAGTTTAACATTTTTTCCTTCCTGGTTGTTATGGTTAATATTAGAATAAGCCAACTTCCACAGATAGCAAGGCATCAAGACCGAAGAACCCTAGGCCCCAATTACTGTGGAGTTGCCATAAAACCCTGAAATGCCTACACATAAAAGAAAAGTAAATTTCTATCTGAAGCCTTTGTTATTTTATTTTTGTCACTTATAGTCATCAAAGTGACAAAAATAAAGTCATCACTTATAGTCACTTAGTCTAGTTAACACTAATTGACATAAAATATATCCTTCACCAATAAAAAAGTGATTTATGAATGGGAGAGGATTTTATATCATCAAAGTCCCAAAAAGGCTACTTAAAATATTAAGACCTCTAAACATTGTCAGATGAATTGAAGAAAATTTGATGTATTTGTGATGTTGCATATTTACTGGCCTAAATAACAAAAATATACTAACCTGGGATGTTCTGGTATATTCTTCATATAGTCTGTCATACTCTTTACTTTTTTCCTGATACTGAGAATGATACTCCTGCAGTTTTTTACCGACTGCATCAATGTTATCTTCTTTTACCAACTGATCCTGTGCAGGTAAACAAAAGAAGTAAAGAATGTTGACAATTCTGATATTAATTTCTATATTTATTTATTTTTTAAATTGAATTTCTATGTAAGTTTAAACCACTGGTTTAATATCAAGCATACAAAAGCACTAAATCCTTTGTTAACACGAATATCAACCTTTATATTACAACAAAATAGTTAATACTTAAAAATTAAGAAAAAAGTATAAACAGAAAACATAAACAAAAGTATTTTTTAAATATATTTTTATTTATTTCAGAGAGGAAGGGAGAGGGAGAGAGGTACAAACATTAATGATAAGAGAGTATCATTTATCAGTTGCTTCCCGAATGCCCCCTACTGGGAATTGAGCCTGCAACCTGGGCAGATACCCTAACCAGAATCAAACCATGATCTCCTGATTAATAGGTTGATGCTCAGTCATCTGAGCACACCAGCCAGGCAACAAAAGTATTTTATATAAAGTTAAAAAATACATGCAACAAGCTATTCATAGTTGCCACAAAATAAGTTATAAAATTCTTAAATCTTCAGTAGAAAACTTTAAATAGATTTCTTTTTTTTTTTAAACTGGTAAGTTAGAATCAAATAATCCTATTAAGTAATTACTTGAGGAATAGCTATCAAGAACTTGTGTGATAGCAAACCAATATGGTGGCATAGGTAAACACCTAAACTGCTGCAGCACACAATTATATCAAAACTACAACTAAAAGACAAAACATGGGGTGGGGAGGTAAGGGCAGAGGGTGGGGTGGGAACCAGGTGGAAGGGAACTATGGGGAGAGGGGAAACAATTGTAATAATCTGAACAATAAAGATTTATTAAATTTAAAAAAAGAAAAAAAAAGAAAAAATGGACACCATCCAGAACCACAGGAAAGCTGGCTGAGTGGAAATTCTACAACTAGAAGGAAAGAGGCATGCACACTGAGACTCAGAGAAGCTGCAAAAGGCTGAGGTACAGAGACACATGCACAGAGAGGAAGGGTGGCTGAGTGCACAGGCGGCTGAGTGTGCAGCTGGCTTTCTAAAGCGGGATGAGATGAAAGCTCCCAACTGTGCTGACTCTAGTCCCAGGCAAGACTCTAGGAAACCAGACTCATTTGGGGGGAACCTGGACTATCAGGAAAAGAGAAAGCACACTGAGACTCAGGGGAGCTGCGGAAGGCAGAGGTCAGAGGTGCACGCACAGAGAGGACTGACTGCTGAGTGCACGGCGGTTTCTAAAGCGGGAGGGAGATGGACTCTCCTGACTGCGCTAAATTCCAGTCCTGGGCAAGTTTCTGGGAACCCAGACTCATTCAGAAAGGAACTGGACAGTCTGGCAGCAGGCAAAACTCAAGGGCAGCTTTCCCTCAGAGATGCTTGCAGCGATTACGGTGGGACACTAAGACCCAGAGGCCTCATAGGGCAGGGCTGATGGGAAGCCAAGGCTGTTTGCTCCGCCCTGAGACTCCGCCCCATCCAAGCTGAGCACAGAGGCTTTTGCAGTTTTGCAAGTCTTGTCTCATAAGAGTGTCTCCAGCACAAAAATTCTCCCAGCGTAGACACAGCTGATCCTCACAGCCAATTAGCCTGGTGATCAAGTCCTCCCAGTGATATCAACAACAATCAAGACTTAACTACAACAGCCGGGACCGGTTTGGCTCAATGGATAGAGTGTCGGCTTGGGGACTGAAGGGCCCCGGGTTCGATTCCGGTCAGGGGCATGTGCCTTGGTTGCGGGCATATCCCCAGTAGGGGGTGTGCAAGAGGCAGCTGATCGATGACCCTCTCTCATTGATGTTTCTAACTCTCTATCTCTCTCCCTTCCTCTCTGTACAAAAATCAATAAAATATATTTAAAAAAAAAAAAAAAAAAAAAAAAAAGACTTAACTACAACAAAGTTATGCACACAGTCCACAAAGGGGTGCACCAAGAGTGTCCACCTCAGATAATTGGGGAAGCTGAGCCACTGGGCCCTAGAGGACACCTAGCACACAAAGCTACTCTACCAACTCAAGGAAGCAGTGAAAATGTGGAGACAAAGAAACAGATCACAAATGAAAAAAATGGAGGAAAGCAAATGACTGGATATGGAGTTCAAAACCACGGTTATAAGGTTTTTCAAGAATTTTCTAGAAAAGGCCAATAAATTTAGCAAGACCCACAAGGAAATGAAAAAGGACCAACTAGAAATTAAACATACACTGACTGAAATAAAAAAATATTATACAGAGACCTAACAGCAAACTTGAGGACCGCAATAATCAAATCAAAGATTTGAAATACAAAGAAGCAAAAAAACACTCAACCAGAAAAGCTAAAAGAAACAAGAATCCAAAAATTTGAAGATAGTGTAAGGAGCCTTTGGGACAACTTCAAGGAGCCTTTGGGACAACATCAGAATTATGGGGGTGCCAGAAGAAGAGAGAGTGAGCAAGATACTGAAAACCTATTTGAAGAAATAATGACCCAACCTGGTAAAAGAAATAGACTTACAAGGCCAGGAAGCACACAGAACCCCAAACAAAAGAAATCTAAAGAAGACCACACTAAGACACATAATTAAAATACTAAGAGCAAAAGACAAAGATAGAACATTAAGAGCAACAAGAAAAAAACAGTTAATTACCTACAAGAGAAAAGCCATATGACTGTCAGCTGATTTCTCAACAGAAACTATACAGGCCAGATGGGAGTGGCAAGAAATATTCAAAGTGATGAACATAAGAATGTACAACCAAGATTACTCTACCAGCAAAGCTATCATTCAGAATGGAAGGTCAGATAAAGAGCTTCACAGATAAGAAAAGGCTAAAGGAGTTCACCACCAAACCAGTATTACATGAAATGCTGAAAGGTATTATTTAAGAAGAGGAAGAAGAAAAAGGTAAAGTTAAAAATTATAAATAACAGATACATATCTATCAACAAATAAATCTAAAAATCAAGTGAATAAAAGATCTGATGAACAGAATAAACTGGGGGATATAATAGAATCAGGGGCATAGAAAGGGAGTGGACTGACAGTTCTCGGGGGGGGGGGGGGGGGGGGGGAAGGGATGTGGAGGGTGCGGGAAGAGACTAGACTAAAATCGTACACCTATGGATGAGGACAGTGGGGGAGAGGTAAGGGCAAAGGGTGGGGTGGAAACCAGGTGGATGGGAGCTATGGGGGGTAAAAAGATAAACAATTATAATAATCTGAACAATAAAGATTAATTAAATTTTAAAAAAAAAGAACTTGTGTGATCATACCTGTTGGTATTTGGACACTGGATACATCAGTTTCACATCAAGTTTGGGATTGTATTGAGCAAGAGATTCATGATGATAGTGGTTAATGAGCTCCACCACAGAATTAAATGTCAGAGGATCAGAAAAGCCGTATTTCCCATCTCGGTGATAAATCTTTATTAACTTATTATTGCCTCCTTTCCTGTAAACAACAAGATAACAACTGTAGATTTTTCCAAAAAAAAATTCTACTGAAGTACTATTACTTTCATATGAAGATATGAAAGCTTGATGTCACATAATAAACAAGTTTTATTATGGTGAGGCTAGAACAGGTGAAAAGACATATAAAAATATGTGTGCAAAAGTATATGTAATATCACATTATTTTTAAAACTCTTTCTTTTATCTATAAATAACCTTGCTTACTAAAGGTTAATATATGTAAACAGCAGTGAGTATCAACAAATTTGACAAAAATAATCACTTAAGAGAAATAATTTATGTATCTTTTTTTTTTCCTGAATGACTTAAACTTCTAGCTCAGACCTTCTCCTGAACTTTAGATAAGCACAGCTGAACAACAGAAGAGGTTCAAGGTTTGGGCCCAAGGGTACACTCATGTTTAGTGGTCAGGGGATGAGGAAAAACCAGCAAAGGAAGCCCAAGAGAAAGCAATTAATGAAGTGAATGGAGAACTAAGAGTGTATTATCTTGAAAACTTTTTTTTAATAAAAAACAATGTTTTTTTATTTTTATATTTTTTAATATATTTTATTGATTTTTTTACAGAGAAAGAGAGGGAGAAAGTTAGAAACATCGATGAGAGAGAATCATCGATCAGCTGCCTCTTGCACACCTCCCACTGGGGATGTGCCCACAACCAAGGTATATGCCCTTGACAGGAATTGAACCCGGGACCTTTCAGTCTGCAGGCCGACACTCTACCCACTGAGCCAAACCAGTTTCGGCAAAAAATAATGTTTTAAAAAGGATTTCAACATAGAGGAAATAATCAACTGATGCTTGACAAAGTAGAGATAACTAAGTGATCTTGATAAAATGGTTTTAGTTGAAAGGTAAGGATGGAAGCCTGACTGAAATGGGTTAAAGACAATGAAAAGAAGAGAGAAAAGACATGCTGTCTTAAAGAATATTTCTGTAAATGATCACTCTGGCTGCTATGCAGAAAATGGGGTGGAGAAGATTAGAAATGGTAAGATGCTGGGAAGCCTGTTAGGAGGTGGCTGCAAAAGATCAAACAAGATGAGGGTAGCTTAGATTTAGATGGTAGAGAAATGTGAAGAAATTACTAATATAGATTTGAAGGTAGAGTTGGCAGGATTTATTTAATGACTAGTGACCCCATGCACGAAATTTGTACACATTAAAAGGGGATTAAGCCGAAACCGGTTTGGCTCAGTGGATAGAGCATTGGTCTGCGGACTGAAAGGTCCCGGGTTCGATTCCGGTCAAGGGTATGTACATTGGTTGCAGGCACATCCCATTAGGGGGTATGCAGGAGGCAGCTGGTCTATGATTCTCTCTCATTGATGTTTCTAACTATCTCTCTCCTTCCTCTCTGTAAAAAAATCAATAAAATATATTTTTTAAAAAGGGGGGGATTAGAGAAAATAATTTAATATTGCTATTTTCTCTTTCTCTATAATAGAAGTGTCAGGGATGAAAGAAAATTAGTAAAATGTATATGAAAACCTTCCTCCTGTCAGAGTCTGGGGCTCACCTCGGGACTCAGAGTTAAGTCCCACTAACCACATGCACCTCAAAATCACGTGAGACCCAGAGCCAAGTGGCCTCCCATCATTGGGCTAGATCCAGACAGGCCAGTCCCACCCTTGTTAAGCCTGCCAGGCAAGGGGCATAGCCTCAGGTCCCCTAGCCTGGCACCAGGATGGGAAGCATGGCCTGAGGTCCCCCAGCCCAGACCAGGGCAGGGGTCATGCCTTGAGGTCCTCTGTCAAGCCCCATCATGTAGGGGACATGGCCTGAGGTTCTCAGTCAAACCCCGCCAGGAAGTGGGGCACAGCCTCAGGTCCCCTAGCCCAGCACCAGGACGGGGGTACAGTCTCAGGTCTCCCGTCAAGCCCCGCCAGGTGGGGGGCACAGCCTGAGGTCCCCTGTCAAGCCCCATGGGAGAAGGGGAAGGGGTAGCTTCAGGTCCCTGCTGATTGTTCATTAAGGCTCCTTATGGGGGACCTCAGCTGTAGGTGCAGCCATCTTTGTGATGGAGTGATGATCAATTAGCATATTCCCTCCTTAATATATAGGATGCCTTAAATGTAACAGTGAGAGAAATAGAAGGGAAAAGACTGTGTCTTGAGTAACTGTAGAGATGGTGGTTATATTGCTTAAAAAGAGTAAAGACTTGAAGGGAAACAGTTTGGATAGGGGAGTTGGAATTGAAATAATAAATTCTGCACTGACCATGTTAAAATTAGTATATCCCCTAGTTCAGTGGTTGGCAAACTCATTAGTCAACAGAGCCAAATATCAATAGTACAATTCAAATTTCTTTTGAGAGCCAAATTTTTTAAACTTAAACTTCTTCTAACACCACTTCTTCAAAATAGACTTGCCCAGGCCATGGTATTTTGTGGAAGAGCCACACTCAAGGGGCCAAAGAGTCACATGTGGCTCGCCAGCCACGGTTTGCTGAATAGTGCCCTAGTTATATAGCGGCAAAATCAAGCAGGCAACTGGATATATGCATCTGGAGTTCTGAAGGTCAGAGCTAGATATAAGGTTTAGGAATCATCACTGTATAATTGTATATTAAAGCCAAGGGACAGGACAAGCATTGCTGTGGGAAAATGAATACAGAGGAGGCCCAAGTCTGAACCTAGGAACACTTAACATCTTGATATTGAGCAAAGGAGTGGCCTAGCATTAGAAAGAAAATCAGAAGAATGTGATATCACAACAGCCAAGAAAATAAACTGTTTCTAGGAAGAAGCATCTATGATTAATGCTGGTAAGAGGTCAGGCAAAGTAAGAAAGAGAAGCGGCCATTGGTTTAGCAGTCCCTGTAGAGTGATAAGACAGAAAGACAGAAGCCTGACTAGAATGAGAAAAAATTGTGTTGAATCAACAGAGAACACTGATTATACCTTAGTGACAACTGAAGTCCTAAGGCATTAATTTCTTTCAATATTTTTATCAGAAACCAATATAGTGACTCCAAATTTCTAGCATAAAATATGGGATTCTTTTTCTTAAAAATACTAGGATGGAAAAGCAGCAAAGAGTCAGATTAATCTGGATTTGAACCCATCCTCTGCCACTTACTAGCAACTAGTATGTATCTTGAGGCGACTTTTTTTTTTTTATGCTGAGTTTTATTTTATTATTTTTTTAATATATTTTATTGATTTTTTACAGAGAGGAAGGGAGAGATAGAGAGCTAGAAACATTGATGAGAGAGAAACATCAACTAGCTGCCTCTTGCACACCCCCTACCAGCGATGTGCCCACAACCAATGTACATGCCCTTGACAGGTCGAACCAGGGACCTTTCAGTCGGCAGTCCAACACTCTACCACTGAGCCAAACCGGATTCGGCTTAAGGCAACTTTCTTAACCAGTTTAAGTTTTAGTTACCTCATCTATAACATGGAAATATTAATACCTATGTGTCATAAGGTTGTTGTGAGAAATAAGTTGTTACATATCGATATAAAATACTTAATACAAGAAAGTTGTTATTGTTGCTATTATTATTATTCTTTTAGATAGCTCTTTATTTTTTAAAAATCACAAGACTTCATTGTAATTAGGCTATTTTAATGGTTAAAATTAAATGTGGAGATATTTAAAGCAGTTTTCCTAATTTAAAAAAAAATATATATGTCCCACTTTTGTAAATATAAAAGAGATACAACCACCACTTATGAGATTCTAATATGCCCAAAAGGATGGCATGATACAAACTGAGAATTGCTTTATCTCCTATATATCATCATCATCCTAAATAAGGTTGAGTTTTAAGGCTGAAGTCTATATTATGAAAAATAAGAGGTTTATTAGAGGGGTGGATTCCAAACATATCATGAACAACCTTAAGCTGTGGACATCACTTCTTCTCATAAGGTCAACAGTATACATCTTATTTCCTTACATTAAAGCTTTTTCACTTTATTGCTAACAAAAAATAAAAATTGCCATTTTTATAAAACATTTAAATATTTAATGTATAAAAAAAGGATAGTTAGCCAAACAAAAATTATGTATCTATATTAAATTAAAATATGAAAAATGTATATAAAGATTTAAACAAAATACAGAAATCTTTGTATACCAGAAATAAATAATGCTGATGAAAATGCTGAAAAATACTCACCGCAAAGTCAAAGTATAATCTCCCTGCATTTTTGTTGAGGCATCTCTGACCAAGAAGGTACCATCTGGCATGTCCCGTAATTTGTCATTTACCTCCTCCCTGAAGAATTATAGGAAAAATGGAAAAAACACAGGTTTCATTTGTGCTCTTCACATATTATTACTAAGGCTAGTTGGGAAATGTCTAAAGTTCTAGAATCAGAGGGCCTTTCAGAGGTCATTTAGTTCCTCTCTCTAGGTATGTTCATTCTGTCTTGATTTTCAGTGTTATGCAATCTAAGAATGGGCTATTTACTTCTTAAACTTTTCCAGATTTCAACTATCTATAAGAGATAGTTTTTCCATTAAGCCTTTAGGGATTCCTTGGGCAGCTCTGAACTTGGAGTTTCAGAAAAAACCAGCAGCTGTTTAGAAAGAAGGTTATATTTAACCAACAGTAGCAGCTGTGTCCAATGGGGGGGAGGAGATTTACTAAATACACAATTTTTCAATATAATATCCTCCAAAATGAATTTATACTGATAATAAATTTCTCTTCGGAGCTGGTTTGGGACTTTAAGGAACAATATTGAATCAACACTCAAAGGAAATGGCAGGGTCTAAAAGACCCTTGAATTATAGAACCACAGGGTTTTAAAATATAAATTTAGTGGGAACCTGGTAGAGGGGGGAAGAAATGAGGAACCTTTGTAATAATATGAACAATAAAGATTGATTTAAAAAAGAAAAAAAAAAAGAAAAATAAATAAATAAATAAAATATAAATTTAAATATTCAAACCTTTATTGTATAATGCTAAAATAAATTTTTTCTGATAATTTTAATATAAATATATATTATATTTCTAAAAATATTAAACACAGAATTACCATATAACCCAGAAATTCCACTTCTGGGTATATACCTAAAAGAAATAAAAGCATGGACTTAAACATTTATACACCTATGTTTATAGCAACATTACTCACGAGCCAAAAGCTGGAAACAAACCAAATATTCATCAAAGCCAAATGTCCAAATGAATAAGTAAATATATATTAAATGGAATATTGTTCAGTTTTAAAAAGGAAATAAATTCTGACACATGCTATGACATGGATGAACTTTGAGGAATAAATATTGTATAATTCCACTTATATGAGATAGCTAGAGTAGTCAAACTCACAGAAACAAAAAGTAGGATGGTGATTGCCAGGAAGGGAATGGGGAGAATAGAAGGCAAGGGGAGTTAGTGTACAGAATTTCACGTTAGGAAGATGAAATAGTTCCAGAGATGGATGGTAGTGACAGTTGAACAACAATGTAAATGTACTTTTTCCTCTGCATTGTACATTTAAAGATGGTTAAAAGGGTAAGGAAAAAAAGGAATGAGTGCCATTTTGGTAATGGGAAAGAAGAGACAAAAGAGGAGGACAATCATATTGAGAAATATAGCATCCACCTGAAACCTGAATTGGCTGAAATGTGTAGTGTTTTTTAAAAACAAGGAAACACAATATTCAAATTTAAAAAATAAATAAATAAAATATATATATGGTGTGTGTGTGTGTGTGTGTGTGTGTGTGTGTGTGTGTGTGTGTATTCCTTATCTAGAGTCAAATTTTTCCAAAACCACATTTTACTCAAAGAGAAATTTGTCCAAGAGTCCTGTTTCCCAAAATGAGGTATGTGAAGAGTGCATCAAAATCACTTGGGGAGATTGTTAAGTGCAGATTCCTAGTCCCCGGCCAATTGATTCTTACACATGTAAAGATTATGGAACTACTACTGCCTTAGAGACAAAAGGCAAGGAAAATTAAGTACCTATAAGTATCTTTCAACCTAAGAGTATGTATTACTTATTCAGAAATATATCCTCAATATAGTATTAAAGTAAAATCATACCCATAATTTAAAGATTTTCTTGTCATTGTGCGTGTGTGTGTGAAGAAAAGCATTTAGAAACTTTTGAAATATTCCCACACAATTTCTTAAATGGTCATCTTTAAATGACAATTAATGGGACATTAAAGTATTTTATTTTAACTACTAATTCTAAAAAATGATTTTTTAAAAACTACATTCAACCATAGCAGCATTCTGGTTACCTTGAAATATCCCCCCAGTACCATTCTGCATCCTGAAGAGAAACAGAATTGTCCTTCATTCCATTTGTAACAGCTGAAGTCATTGGCTTAGGTGGCTTTGGTGGAAGAGCTAGAAGAAAAATGAATATTATTTTGTAGAAGTAAATTATAATTTGTTTTCTAATTTCCTCAGTCAGGAACCCTCATTAACCAATGTACACTGAAATTCAAATAATTATAAGTCAAATAGTGTTATTTTAGGTTAAATCTTTTTTTTTTTTTCTAAAATGTTTTTACTGATTTTAGAGGGAAGAGGGAGTGGGGTAAAGGGGGAGAGAGGAAGACAGATAAGAGACAGAGACACCAGATGTGAGAGAGAAACATTGATTGGTTGCCTCCCACACACACCCTAACTGGGATTTGAACCAGCAACCTTTTGATGCATGAGACAATGCTCAACCAACCTGACCAGGGCTTATGTTACATCTTAAACATACTGCCCCAAAACAGTATTTCTAAGTACAGGGACTTTTCTAAATTTCTGATTGTCCAACAGAAGACACTTAATATGTGTCAAGCACTATAGCAGGCACAGTAAATTAATGTGGTTGTAAATCACTAAGGGATCCGGTGAAATGCAGAGCATGGTTTGCTAGGTATGGCTTGGGCCTGGAATTCTGATTTAGAACAAGCTTCCAGGTGATGCCAATGCTGCTGGCCAAACTGAATTAGCAATGAGCTCAAAGATGTCTCTATTGGAAAAGCTCTGATGGGATTAAAAAAAAAAAATGCAAGTAGAATATAATAGCTAAAATATAGTAGATTAAATACATGTGATTCTTCACTCCCTCTATAAATCACTTCAAATGGTGGTAATATAACCTATTTTTAAAGGTATGAACACAACAGCAAAGAGATCAGAGGAGGAAGCAACAGCAGAGGACAGCAACAAAACTTTTTTACCTGCACACCCCCTACTGAGGATGTGCCTGCAATCAAGGTACATGCCCTTGACTGGAATCAAACCCAGGACCCTTCAGTCTGCAGGTGACACTATACACTGAGCCAAACTGGCCAGGGCAGCAACAAAACTTTAATACGGTTAATCTGACTTGGTGAAGTGCAAAAACTGAAACCTTAGCCTAAAGAGAGAAAAAGTCCTGTAAAAGAAATAATTGGAGGCACAATGATCTCTAATGGAGGGAATGAGAGATGGAACTAAAAATAGAAGGATTGAAAAAAAAATTTTTTTTAATTAAAAATAAATTTTAAAAAAATAGAAGGATTGGCTGAAAGTCGATAGAAAGAGCAGTTCTCCCCATGCAACTGGGCAATACCCCTCCTCCACCCTTGACAAAGGCTGCCTGTCACCTCATCAATCCAGAGAAACAATTAAAGAAATCCCAAACACTAAGCACAGCTGGGACTAGAGTAAGTCCCAAATTGCAAACAGAATTAAGAAGTTCACCAGATAGGTAAATGGCCCCTAAATCCCTCTCCCATTTCAGTTCTCTGAACAGTAAGCCTCCAAGCTTATTCCTTGGGAGATTTTTTTAGGGAGATTTTTTTCTCTCAAGAAACTGATAAGACCCCCTGCAAAAGACCTAAAAATACAGGTATTTTGTGGTTACCAATGAAAAAGAGGTTCATTATCATATCACCTTTCAACGAAGGACTCTAGTTAACGTGTTCCCTTTTTTTTTTTTTTTTAATATATTTTATTGATTTTGTACAGAGAGGAAGGGAGAGATAGTTAGAAACTGCCTCTTGCACACCCCCTATTGGGGATATACCCGCAACCAAGGTACATGCCCCCTTGACCGGAATCGAACCCGGGACCTTTCAGTCCCCAAGCCAACGCTTTATCCACTGAGCCAAACCAGTTTCAGCCCCTTTTTACGCAAAGTACAACAGGCGCATACTCTTTCACTAGGGCATGTCAGTACGTCACGCCTAGTGAACGTATATATTATTATTTTTTTAATTTATACTTAATTAAAATAAATGAAATATATATTTTTTCATTTATTTATATATAAAGCACAAAGGAAATTACAAAATTACAAACAAATAGAAAAGAATATCAACAACAAAATGGAAACATCGAATTAAAAAATTATAAATTCTACAATTATAAAGATTACAAAAAATATATTTTTTTATTTCTACACACAATAAAAAGTATAAAAAAGTTAACAATTACAGAATAAACAAAAGCACACAAATAAAATAGAAATATTGAGTTGAAAAAATTGAAATATAGATGTAAAAATTCAAAACTCAACTTCCGTGTGATATATTTTAAAACAATTGTTGATACATAGTGCTACCTTACAATCTGGACACCAGTATGTATTATAGATTCTTTCCTAACACCCTTTTTGTATCAAACTCGGCATTCCTGGATTTAGTTTTTCCTATATCGCTTTTCATTTGTTCTGGAAAATGCCTTTCAACTAAGCGTGTTGGTTTAGAGGTAGAGCTGCTTGTTGATGTCTTTGGGTGGGTTTTCACTATGTTGTTATCTACCAATTTCTCTACACACTCTATCAAAAAGTGTAATCGATCCAAATAACCTTTACCTTTTTTGTATATAATATATGCATTGAAGCAGCACATATCAATTAGTCGTAGAAAAAATTTTTTATAAAATTTTTTTACCCTATTACGGGCAGCCGTGTAGGCCACCATAACTCCATCTCCCAAATCTACGCCACCCATATTCTTGTTATAATCCAGGACAACATTCGGTTTTTCTTGCCTTCTTCCTCTCTTTTCAATCATTGTCTTTTCGTCATTATGAATAGAAATGAGCATCAATACGTCTTTTTTATCCTTCCATTTTAAAACCATAAGTTTGTCTTTGATTCTTACTATATGTTCATTTTTCTGTAATTTTTTTGTTTTTATTTCACTGGGGATTCTGACTCTGTTTATCGCATTGTTCCAACAATGTCTGTATTGTTTTGACACAAGAGTTCAGCCAAATGAATTGACGTATAGAAATTATCTAAGTACAAAGGAGGCACGAATATACAATGGAGTCAAAACAGTCTCTTCAATAAATGGTGTTGGGAAAATTGGACAGATACATGCAAAAGAATGAAACTAGATCACCAACTTACACCATACAAAAAAATAAACTCAAAATGGATACAGGACTTAAACATCAGATGGGAAACCATAAAAATACTAGAAGCATCCACGGGCAGCAAAATCTCAGACGTATGCCAAAAGAACTTCTTCACTGATACTGCCCCTAAGGCAATGGAAGCTAAAGAGAAAATAAACAAATGGGACTACATCAAAATAAAAAGCTTTTTTACAGCAAAAGAAACCATCAACAAAACAACAAGGAAGCCCACTGTGTGGGAGAACATATTTGCAAATGTTACCACTGATAAAGGTTTAATCTCCAACATCTACAAACAGTTTATACAACTAAATAAAAGGAAGATGAATGATCCAATTAAGAAATGGGCAATGGACCTAAATAGAATATTTCCAAAAGATAGAAGAAGGCCAAAAGGCACATGAAAACATGCTCAAAGTCACTAATTATCCAAGAGATGCAAATCAAAACAACAATGCGGTACCATCTCACACCTGTCAGAATAACCAACATCAACAAATCAACAAATGACAAGTGTTGGCGAGGGTGTGGAGAAAAAGGAACCCTCGTGCACTGCTGGTGGGAATGCAGACTGGTGCAACCACTGTGGAGAACAGTGTGGAGTTTCCTCAAAAAACTGAAAATGGAACTCCCATTTGACCCAGTAATCCCACTCCTAGGAATATATCCGAAGAAACTAGAAACACCAATCAGAAAGGATATATCACCTCTATGTTCATAGCAGCACAATCTACAATAGCTAGAATCTGGAAACAGCCTAGGTGCCTGTCAGCAGATGACTGGATCAAAAAACTATGGTACATCTACACAATGGAATACTATGCTGCCATAAAAAAGAAGGAATTCTCATCATTTGCAGCAACCTGGATAGAACTAGAGAACATCATGATGAGTGAAATAAGCCAGTCAATGAAAGAGAAATACCACATGGCCTCACTCATTTATGGATATTAAAGAACATTATAAACTGACAAACCAAAAGTCAGATATAAAGACAGTAAAGCAACAAGCAGACTGTAAAATTACAGCGGGGAGAGTAGGGAGATCTGGGGGAGATAAGAGATCAATGGAAGGACTTGTATACATGCATATAAGTACAACCAATGGACACAAAACTCTGGGAGGGAGGGTATGTATGGGGGGGGGAATGTTAAAATATGTACACAGATAATAATTTAATAAAAAAAAAAATTTAAAAGAAAGAAATTATCTAAGTAAATCCTATACCCTTTATTCAGTAAGTCATGTGTTAACTCCAAAACAATTCTTTTTTTTTTTTTTTTTTTTTTTTTTTTTTTTTTTTTTTAAATATATTTTATTGATTTTGTACAGAGAGGAAGTGAGAGAGATAGTTAGAAACATCGATGAGAGAGAGTCATCGATCAGCTGCCTCTTGCACACCCCCCACTGGGGATATGCCCGCAACATGGTACATGCCCTTGACCGGAATCGAACCCAGGTCCCCTCAGTCCCCAAGCCGACGCTCTTTCCATTGAGCCAAACCGGTCTCGGCCAAAACAATTCTTGTTGATTGTTTTTCTTGTGGGTAGTTCGAACCATAATTTGTGTCCTTGCCTGTGTATAAAATTATATTTTGTACATATCCAGATTGGCTTTCACTCAAAATAAACAACTTCATTCCAAATCTAGCTCTTTTTGTAGATATATATTGTTTCCAAGATAAATTCCCTTTCCATGATAAAAGAGATTCATCTACGCATATTTCTCGTTCACATACATAAAAACTTTTAAACTTTTCTAACAAATTATTGATGATTGGATCAATTTTATATGTTTTTCTATTATATAAAGGTTGGAGATATAAAAAATATAATAATATATAATACGAAAATAGGTAGGTAAGTAAGTACGTACCCGTCACTGCTCACCCAGAACACATCCACCACTCTCAATAGCGAAATTATACTGATTCCCCTGAAATTATAAATTCATGTCGAGACATGTATGGATGACTAATACCTTTGTTGTTCAGAAAT